CAGTTGATCCTGTGATCTAAAGGTATCCACCCACAATTTGATGGTGTTTCGGGATGGGATAGGTTCCCCAAGAGCCACATTAAAATGCCTCCGTAACTTATGTTGCGTACCAACAACAGAATCGCCATTTTTAAAAAAACGTCTCAACGGCAAACGCGCGATGTATACTGGTCCACTGCTCCATGGCGACTGAAATGGTATCACTTGGCCTTGAGAATGAGCCGCTCCCCACCACCCCCCTCCACTCGGCTGCCGGACTGTACTCGCTTGAAAACCGTCAGATATTTCTGCCGCTCCCTGTATAAAGTGGGAGGAAAGCTGTGTATTATACAAGGAGCCTAATTGGAAGAAAAGGAATATTATTGAGGCTTTGTTTATTACTTCAGATCAAGATTCATTAGCCAACGCATCCATTGATATCAGCCCGGTTTACAATACACTAATAGAGAAAGAAATTGAAAACCGGGCCGCTCCTTGCCGCACGATGCGCTGGAGAAAACACGATGAGTTTTAATAAAAATCCTACAAACACATCTTTGAATAGGAGCTCAAATGAGCAAAATGAAGCGTCTGAAGTGGAGCAGAACCCCTTTGATCGAAGCTCCAAGCTTAAGAGGTCGTTACCACCGAAAAACGTAAGGACATCTCCGCCACCTGAACCTTTCAAGTGCTCTACGTTCCCCCCGTTAGGATCCCTTTCGGCAAGTGGAGCTGGAAACGGTCCAGAAAATGTTGGCGATGTAGATGTCGAACTGGCATTGCCGGGAACTGTTGTAGGGATGCCGAAGGAAACCTTCACAGCGGCGTCGCGGTCGGAAAGCTCTGAGATTGTGCTTCTGCGTCAGGAATATCTTGACGCAGATAGTAACATTAAAACCCGGCTCCGTGACATGGAAAAGACGATTAAGGCTATGCTGGACACCTTCCGGACCCAGAGAGCCGTAAACCAAGTGGTAAAAAATGGAATGGCAAAACTAGAGGATGACCTTGGCTTCGTCTTTGCCTGCCGTCTGGTAAGCAAGGCGACCATGGAAAAGATTGCCGAAAAGGTGGTGTCTCTGCCCGATGAAAGAGCGCTGCCTTCTAAGAAACGTCGGAGGCCTTCCACATTGGAGAGTCCTCCAAAAAGAGAAGAAGGCGTCCAGACCAAAAAGACCACGGTAAAGGCCAAGGCGACTCAGACGGACCTCTCGTCTGCTGTGCCCAGACCCTTTTCGGACGTAGCTGCATCTCGAGCGAGGCGCCAACTGGCACAGCAACCCACGACCCCTCTTCAGGGAAGTTCCCGAAAGGGGTCAGTGGTGGAGACACCTGGGGCTGTTTGGGAAAAACGCCTTTCCAAAAAGGAGAAGAGGCAATTGAGGCGGGCGGAGGTCGCCTCCATGAAAAATGAGGCAGTGACGGCACAGCCAACTGGCGTGGCCCAAACTGGGCCCGGTTCGGTGCCTGCACCTAAAAGGTTGCGGCCAAAAAAGCCCAGGATGGAGGCAATCATTGTCAAACCCTCAGGGGGGAGATCTTTTGCCGAGGTCTTGGGTGCAATCAAGGCCAATGCTAAGCCAGAGCAGACCGATACGGTTGTACGGTCGATTAGACAAACCCGGGGCGGGGACGTTCTCCTTGAACTGGGTAGGTCGAAAGACAAAGCAGCCTTTACTGCCGAACTGAAGGCAGCTGTCAAAGGCCAGGGCACCGTCCGTTCTCTCGAGCCAAAGACATCAGTCGAGGTTCGAGACATTGATTGTGTGTCGACGGAGGCTGATGTTGTGGAAGCCCTGAAGAAAGCTATCCCCGAGCTTGGTGGGCAAACGGCTTTTCTGAAGGTGTGGCTCACAAAACCGAATAGGAGCCAGCAGCGGATGGCGGTCGCCGAAATGGCAGACGCACATGCCAATAAGGTGCTGGCACTCCAACATCTGAGAGTCGGCTGGGTCAACTGCAGGCTCAGACGGAGATTGGAAGTAAAGAGGTGTTTTAAATGCCTCTGTTTCGGCCATTCCTCCCGAAACTGCAAGGGACCCGACCGAAGCAAGAACTGCCTTCGGTGCGGGGAGGTCGGTCACATCCGTAAGGACTGCCAAGTCGAGTCCTGTTTTCTTTGCAAAGAAAATGGGCTCGCTGAAAAACACTTGAAGCATATAGCTGGGTCTGGACAGTGCAGTGCATTTAAATCTGCACTATAACAAGCGAAAGCCCTCCCACGAAGATAAGAATCCTTCAATGCAATCTTGAGCGATCCAGGACGGCTGACGCACTTCTATGTCAGCTTGCCCTAGAACACGATGTCGACGCGCTTTTAGTCAGCGAACAGTACCAGTACCGTGATAGGGACCCAGTTTTTTGGTTCCCTGATAGTCTTGGTACTGCTGCAATCTGGGCGCGTAATGCAGCTACAGTACAAGTACGGGGTCACGCGAAGGGCCGAGGTTTCGTTTGGGTTCGGTGCCGGGATGTCACTTACTTTAGTGTCTACCTCACTCCCAATGAGGCCATCCGTGACTTTCGTGAGAAGATAGACCGCCTGGAAAAGAGCGTGCGCAATACCACAGGACACGTCGTCGTGGGTGGGGATTTTAATGCTAGGGCTGTCGAGTGGGGAATGACCCTCACAAATTCCCGGGGCAAGTACATTCTGGACTTTGCTGCCAGAGCCGGACTCGTTGTCGTCAACGAGGGCAACACGCCAACTTTCCGGCGCCCTGGGATGCGGGGAACGATCCCAGACATTACCCTTGCATCTGAGTCTCTTTTGCCAAGGATCAGAGCCTGGAGAGTCCTGGAGGATTACACGGCCAGTGACCACCAGTACATAATTTTTGACGTCCTGGATGGTCATCAGAGACAAGTGGCAGCGTTTCGTCAAGTGCCCGTTCGATGGAACATTAAAAAACTGGACGTGGCAAAATTCAATGGAGCCATCCTACGAAGAACGCCGGTGGTTCATCCTGCAACTGGCGTGCCTCACGCAGAGGCGTTAGTTGCATCCACGATGAAACTTATTGTCTCGGCCTGCGATGAGTCTATGCCTCGCAGGAGATACCGGTGCAATAAGCGTCCTGTGTACTGGTGGACTGCCGAGATTGCGGAATTGCGTCGATCGGCATTGAGGGCCAGAAGACTTGCTACCAGGGCTAGAGAACCCCTAGACAGACGGTGTAAGTCGGATGCTTATAGGGTGGCTAGGAGGTATCTTCGTCGAGCCATCAATCGGAGTAAACGCAGTTGCTGGGATAAATTAAGGGACGATGTTGATTCCAACCCGTGGGGCCTGGGTTACAAACTTGTAACCAAGAAACTTGGAACCCGCTCTCCACCTTCCGTCATGGACAGGGTCACTATGAGACATTCATTCCCACCACACCAGATTTAAGAGTTATATTAAGCCTGAAACCCATAGATTAGAGAAATTTCATTTATCTCCCCAATATATAGGCCCACAAGTTTACAATAAGTTACCACTCCGCATAAAAAATATTGATAGTAAAACACAGTTCAGATCCACCCTGAAGACCTGGTTAAAAACAAAAAATTTTTTTTTCTATAGAATGTTATTTAAATAGGGACGTTAAGTTAGATTAATAATTTAGTAAGACATTTTTGTTATTTCTTAGTTTTAGTATATCATGTATATGACTTTATGTCCTGTCAAAAAATGATGTAATGACATGTATTAAATAAATAAATAAATAAATAATAAATATGGAGAGGATAGTCGAGTCCCTTTTCCCGGCTCACGCGTTGCGCCCACTGCGGGATTATGGAAGGGTGGACGACGTCCCACTTTTCAGCCCTGAAGAGCTGGTGGCGGCCGTCATATCCCTGAAGAACAACAAGGCTCCTGGTCCCGATGGGGTGCCCGGTGAAGTCCTCAAGAAGGTTTTGACTACCAACCCCTTGATCCTTTGGAGCATGTACAACGCCTGCCTGGTTGAAGGGGTTTTCCCCTTGTGCTGGAAGACAGCTAGGCTTGTGCTTGTTGGGAAGGGCAAGGGAGACCCAGATCTGCCATCCTCTTACAGACCTCTGTGTATGTTGGATACGGCTGGCAAAGTCCTCGAGAAATTGATCCGTTCCCGGCTAAATTCAGCCGTTGTCGCTGCGGGGGACCTCTCCCCTCGTCAGTATGGATTCAGGATGGGGCGATCAACGATTGATGCGATTGAGGAGGTGAAGCAAGCCGTGATGAGAGCTGAGGATTTTACCCACTACTCTCGCAGGGTTGTGCTGCTCGTAACGCTCGATGTGCGAAATGCATTTAATTCGGCGAGGTGGTGCGATATGCTGGATGCTCTGGAGAACACCTTCCACGTGCCGGCATACCTCATGCGCATCATAGAGGATTATCTCCGGTTTCGCCTCCTAACGTATGACACTGCGGAGGGCCCGCGGACGATGAGTGTCACTTCTGGTGCTGCCCAAGGTTCCATACTCGGCTTTAGCTGTTCTAGATAACAGAGTCTCCCCTCCCCCTCCTCCACCACCGGGGTCGTCAGTCGTGGTTAGGTGCTCACAACGATTGCGTGAGAAGAGAAATAACCTTGAAAACGCCGCACGTTGATTTTGGTGCGGCGAAACGTCGGTGTTGAGAACTTTTGTCTGATATTTTAAATTTAGTTTTAATTTTATGTTTGTATATTTTTATGTGCAATGAACTGTGTATGATTGTGGTTAAAAATTTTAATAAATGAACAAATTGAGAAAGTCTTTAGAATGAGCAAAGCACTTCAGTGACCCAGCCCCTTGCGTTTAACTTTATGAATGGTGCAAATTCTTTATCCTTTTATTTTGGATTTTATTTGAAGACAAAATAATCAAAAGTAAGCTAGCCTACATAGTTTTTTTGACAACTACTTTAATCATCTACCCTGACTGATTAAATGATACACATTTACTAGACTAATGTTTTCCTTTGTCGGACATTGATAAAGTTTTTTTCCTGAGCCTAGGCTTAGCTAAATATTACTAAAAACAAAAACAATTGATTAAAACAACACACTAACCTGTCACAAGGTTTGTCCTTCCATTTTGAAAAATCAACTTTACCATGATTTCTCAGATCTGTCAAATTAGTCGCCATATGAATTTTCCTCGCGGCTACAGGCATGGTTTAGCTGAAAGAAAGAACTTTTTATGAAAGAAATAAATGGTTCTTTTAAAAAGTATATTGCAGATATATGTTTTAATAAAAAATGAACTTAAATGAAAAATTATTTACTTACACAGGCAAAGTTAGTGCCACATGGCCCTGTACCTAAATATGTACCTGTACATATTTATGTAAATATGACCTGTACTTTAATATGATACAAATATCTTAACAAAGTCAGTTTGCAATAAAACAAAACAGAAATCATAGATACATAAACTTTTAACAAAAATCAGTAAATTTTAAATTTTGCAAATACACACACACACTTTTTTTTTAGAGATTTTTAGTGCTGCCACAAACCAGGAACGACTATATTTAAGGGATTTAATAGCTAAAGGGAGATCGTTCCAAATACAGCAAGCTGTTCCAACAAACGCTCTGTCGTTAACTGCGTTCCTATGGTGATGCATACGCAAAGTTAATGATACATAGTGTGAGTATGTAACACTTTCTTCAACTACAAACCTAAAATAATCCACAAAATATTTTGGAAAAAAGGTTTTTAATATTGAATAGGTTAGCATTCGAATTTTGATTGATCTCTTTTATACTTTATACTTTTCTTTGAAATGGCGACCATACAAAGTAGGTATTTTAAGCCAAGTATGAATGGAGATGAGTGTATGATGAGTGGCACGATCTTGAAGTCTTGTTAGTGACTAAGGTCGACATATTCCTTAGACACAGCTGTTAATTAATAGCCCATACAACTAATGCCGACTAAGGGACCTACAGTTTATAGTGGAATCCGAACCACTTTTTTTCCTTAGTATATACGAATTGGTCTAATTATCAGGATAGTACTGCGGATAGTCGTAGTACTCACCTGTGCGGACGTTAATCCACACCAGGGAGTATCGCATCCACAGTGCATGCCTATGAATATCCACAGTTCGTGACCTCCTAGTAGCTGGATTACAGGACGACGCCACCTGTCCCAGTCATCTCAGGTCACATTGCTTTAATAACTTACAATGAATGTAGAAAGGGGTAGAAAGAGGACATATTCAAAGAATTTATGGCATAGGCCTAGCTTAAGTTTAGCCTACAATTATCTAGAACACTAAAGTATATTTAGACTTATTTAACTAAGAATACCTATAACAAAAAGAAAAAAATTATGTTTGAATTTGCTCTCATGTTTTAATATAAACAAGCGGAAGCTTCGATAGCACTTTGAGATACACAATGCCAGACAGCTGATTTTGATTTAACTTAAACCAATAAAAAATGTTTAAGTTTAATATTAAAATTAATTCCAGCAGTCTGCATCCTGACCTTCACCGCGGCGCGCTTCCTGCCTGTACATTTATTGTAATAGGCCTATTCATAGTTTTTATTCGTTTATGTAAATGTCTTTGTCCCGTCCAAATATGTATATGTACAGTGTATAGAGGCCTTAGATATATAAATTTTTTACCAAAAGATATAAAATACCCCCGCCGCAGCAAACCTGCAGACTTAGCGAATTTCCATTTGCCTGATTGGATTTACACTAAAATGTTTCCTTAACACGTTGACTGCGCGTGCCGACTTTAGTCGGCGTCGCCAGCGCTCCCAGGTGGCGCGCGCCGACTACAGTCGGCACCAGACCAACAGTAATATATTGAGTCAGTGTGAGCTTAGCCTCAGACGGAGACGTTATAATCGTTGCCAGCCTGCCAGCTTAGAATGCGAGCTTTACTTTGGTGTAGGTTGGTACTAAAATTTCCCGTAAAATCCCGTCTGGCAATGCTTTTGTCCCGGTTTCGGGGATTTTTTCTCTTCAACCCACATTACAAAGACACTGGATACGGATCCATGCAGTGCTGCTACCTTTGGGTGTTTCAGTGAACTACATCCACTCTCGGGGTAACGCAGCACAGTCACCACTGCTCTTTTGTGATTCGTCAGACTGAAATATTTGAATGCCAATTGGGTTCGCTGATTCGGTTGCGCGCCGGGGCTTCGCCCGCCACTGGGGAGCGCCTGTAAAGTCGGCGCGCGCAGTCAACGTGTTAAAAATATCACATTTGTTCCCTATTTAAACAGAAATAGTGTGAACCTGTGCGAATTCGCACGAAAAATAAATTAGGATATTATAGCAACGTCGTTAGAAGTTGCGTCGTTGTATCGACATTGGTCTTGAGCTCCATCGTTGGCTATATGCATTCTAAGTTCTTTTTGCTGTTCAGTAGGGGTATTTTGCAGGACGGAGCTCATCATGCTGAAAACTTGCGCGTATGGATTAATATCAAGTTGAGTCAGAACTGCAAGAGCCATTAGCTTTGATTAGCATTCTTTCTTGAACAGCGGTTTCGACGTCCGTAGGTATAAATTTGGGCATATGTGGGATGCTCCCCTTCTGACGGTTGAAAGGTGACAATCGGGTGATAAATTGTGTCGTGCACCTTATACATGAAAGGCCCTCCACTGTTATATTCTTCAATTTTAGCTCGAGTGCTGACCATTGCGAGCGCAGAGTTGTACCTGGTTGTACTATCTAATGTTCTCTTTGTAGTTTCTGCTCAAAAGATTTGCCCCATTACGTAGGCTCTTAGTATAATAGATTTCTTGGTATGGTGGAAGATTCACTTTTCCTTTATGGCAGCAGGGTGAAAATCCTTCGCCTCGTCCTCTTTGTTCTTCTTTAAAATGTAGCGCACTACATTTCTGACTTTTTAATGCCATTCTCAGTGTAATTTTGTAAATACACGTGGCCACTAACTGTTCCAGCTCTTCGTCTGGGCTCCTTACGTTTTGCATTGCTTGCCGTATGTTGACTCGCCGTGTCCGACCGGCAATATTTCTTTGTCGTCGGGTCCTTGGCATGTTTAAACGAAAATATAATGTAAAACTTTTCTCCCGTCGTGTCCTATAGGTAACATTTCTTTGCCGGGTTTCTAATTATTTTTAAAAACATGCAAACTGTTTACATTTCAAAACCAAACAAAACAGCTGGGATTTAACTTTTTTTAAACTAATGTATTGACATCTGTTTCAGAATATAATAACATTCAAATCAATCACAATGTTATCCTTATGGAAGGAACTTTGAGGGCAGCCCACGCCCTTAAAAATATATATTTCGAAAATCTAAAGTCAGTTTGCACATCTACACACCTAGACGAACATTTTGGTATATAATATGTGGGGTTATATCTTAAAATAAAAAAGCCTTATTGTTCACAAAGTTTTATGTCGCGTATTAAATATATAGATTAGTTTAACTTGTACTTAGGTTTGTTGCAACAGGGAGGGTAAACAAGTTTTTTTAAATGTAAAATGTTTAAAGGTACTGTAGTTTAGTAAGAAATTAATGTATTTTCCAAATTGTATCAAATATGTTCATAACAAGGAAACTACAACAGTTGACTTATTCTCCATAAGAATAACATAGGAATTTTAAAATTACAATTATTTTGAATTTTATCCGTAACAATTAGGCGCATAATAACGCTTCAATATACTAAATTATTTGTTTTTTTAAGCTCTACAAAATGGTTTAGAAAGAAATTGTGAAATTTTGTGTTTTTATGTCAAAAGGGAAAAACCTATTTTTACCCCATAAAATCTCCCATAAACCCCCATTCCCATAGTCCGATCATGCTGGTTCGCGAACTTATTCAAGTTTATCCCGCCTTACACCTTCAAACCAAATTTTATCAAAATCGGACAAAAATTACTCAAGTTATCGTGCGGATGGACACACACACACACATATATATATATATATATCTCTATATATAGATATATAATACCCCCGCCGCAGCAAACCTGCAGACTAAGCGAATTTCCATTTGACTGATTGGATTTATACTGAAATGTCTACTTAAAAATATAACATTTATTCTTGATTTAAATAGAATTAGTTTAACAAGTACTTAGGTTTGCTGCATCAGGGAGGGTAAAACTGTTTTTTTTTTGTAAAATGTGAATAGTTAGTAAGAAATAAAAACATTTTCCAAATTTGATCAAAATATGTTCACAAACAAGCAAACTACAACAGTTTACTTATTCTCCATAAGAATAACATGGGAATTTTAAATTTACAATTTTTTGGAATTTTCTCCGTAACCATTAGGCGCATAATAACGCTTCAATATACTAAATTATTTGTTTTTTTAAGCTCTACAAAATGGTTTGGAAAGAAATTGCTAAATTTTATGTTTTTTGGGTCAAAAATGGGAAAAACCTATTTTTACCCCATAAAACCCCCCGTAAACCCCCGTTCCCATGGTCCGATCATGCTGGATCGCGAACTCGTTCGAATAAACGTACGTTTACACGTTTGTACCAAATTTCATCAAAATCGGATCATTTTTGCTCGAGTAATCGTGCTGACGGACACATATATATCTAATATATAAAATTCTCGTGTCACAGTGTTTGTCTGCAAACTCCTCCGGAACGACTTCACCGATCGTAATGAAATTTGGTGTGTAAATTCTGTAGGTATGCGAATCGGACGTAAACTATTTCCCGTTTCGAAATTCTTAAAAGGGCTCCGCCCCAGTGGCTCTGGAGTTTCCCATGTTAACCTTATGAGAAATGGAATTAATGAATCTTAACAGCTGTTTCAATTAAACAAGTTGGTTCTGTTCTATGATGTTCAATAGCATTAAAGTTACAAGGATTACCAACAGGGTGCAGCACTATTATTTCTTTTACATTTATGACAACAGCTAATTTGCAACCAAAAGGTGAGTGAGCGTAGCGAACGAACTTCAACCTGGAGGCGAGTGAGCGTAGCGAACGAGCTAACCTGGAGGCGAGTTAGCGTAGCGAACGAGCTCCAACCTAAAGGCAAGTGAGCGCAGCGAACGAGCTCCAACCCAAAGGTGAGTGAGCGTAGCGAACGAACTTCAACCAGGACGTGATTGAGCGATGCGAACGAGATCATCTTGAAAATTAAACGTAACGGTACTTTCTTTCCATCGGTCTGTCTTAGGGGAAACCTATAACTTAGGCGATACGAAGTTCGCCGGGTCAGCTAGTATATATATATATATATATATAAATATATAAATATATATATATGAATTTGAACGGATGGTGTTTTTGGCCTCTAGGGACCTCAAAATGAAAAAAAAAATCGGTCCCGCGTCCAGGTCTTACCATGAGTACTACGGTAATAGCTTATTCCCTATATGGGAAATTCGCTAAAAATTTGAACGAATGGTGTTTTTGGCCTCTGGGGACATCAAAATGAAAAAGTAAATCGGTCCCGGGCCTAGGTCTTACCATGAGACCTAAGGTAATAGCTACTTCCCTATAGGGAAATTCGCTAAAATGAATGTAATAGTAGGAAATTTTACTTTAAACTAAAAAAATACCTAGTAGAAAAAGCAATTTAATCCTTTGAGGAATTTTACAATTTAAAATATTGTGAACAGACAATAAGTACTCACTGACTCTATTCTTTGTACTTGTACATTCATGATTAAAGGAGATTTTGATTTGATTTGATTTGATGTGTGTATATTACGTTTAAAAGTAAACAATGACAAGGATTTCCCCATCCAACTGCGATGTTTTGACAATGGCGGATACAAGCCGAAACCGAAACATGTAAACAACCTATGTGTAGCCTAACTTTTAACTATATATTTTTTTAGTGTAGCTTTTTGTCAGATTAAAAGGTACGGTATGTAAGCTACTATCACTATTATCACATTTAAGTTAAACTAGTCCACAAGAATATTTTTCAATTGAAATTGTATCGCTCACGTCTAAATCTATGTCTAGTTATGTAATTGACAAAAACTTATCATTCAGTAATATATGTTCAGTCAAAGATTCTGTTCCTAAAAATTACATGTGTAAATGTAGGATAACAAACATGTGAGATTAGAGCACGTAATTTATTGTATTAACCCACCTTACATAAAGACATTGAAAGTTTTGTAAATAATTGTAGTGTTTTTGTACTAAGTTTAAGCTATGAATGCAAAAGAACCGTTGTTGTTTCATGAAGTACCAGATTTGCCTTGGCACAAAGTGTCAGGTGACATTTTTGAGTTTGATAACCAATATTTTCTTGTACTAATGGACTATTGTTATTCTAAATATATTAAGTTAGTATCTTTGTCAGACATAACCTCAAAATCTGTAATCGAGAAATGTAAATCAATATTTGCTCGCCATGGAATTCCTGTTACTTTAGTTGTTGATTCAGGAAGTCAATTCACTTCTAATGCTTTGGACGAGTTTTCTGAGTAGTATGATTTTAAGCTAGTGATAGTCTTAAACACTCTCAATCTAATGGACAAGCTGAGTCAGGTGTCAAAATAGCTAAAGATTTACTGAAGAAAACAAAAGAAGGTATTTTCCTGGTAAGGGGAACATTCATTATTATCGTTGATTTCTTTTCATTGTATCAATATTTTTTTGTTTTCGTTTACAATCTATATTCCATCTGTTTTAATATCTTTAAATGCATTTAAATTACAGAAAAACAGACATAGCAAATATGTCTAAGTTATACTTGGTTCAATAAGCGAGTTATTAAGTTAGTTTTAGCTCGTATTAGAGAACTAATTTTAATTAAGAACTAATCTTGTTTAGGCAAAAATAATAGCCTACAATATAATGGATTAAGAAAGTATTCTAAACTAACCGAATTTAACTAACCAAACTTGCTGTACCGTAGGCTAAGTTACCGTTTCAAAATTCCGTTTGATAGGCATATGGGGAATAGGATATCAAACAGAATTTTGAAATGTTACTGCAAGTTTGGTTAGTTTAGAACAGTTTTATTTCAATATAATATTTTTTTATTGTTTTTTGATAGGCCTACTGAACAATATTTATTTATCGTAGTTGTCAGCTGATAAGATAAGTTTCAATTTGTTAATATCATTAGCCTATAGGCCTAGTGAACCAAAAAATAAAATATCTTACTTACTTGAATACTTGAATACTTGATGTCTTCATCTTTGACCGACATTATCGGATAGATTGCGTCAATTTATTTATATATACAATTTATACAAAAACTAATATTTACAAACACTATACAACAGAAAAAATTGTGGCATGGCGGTTTTGAATAATTAGGTCCAGTTACCGTATGTCAGAATCAGGATGGAAAGAGTGGCTCTTCAAGCTCGGCCAACGAGTACAACGGCCTTTTCACCAGTGCTTTGAGGAGGGTCTTTTTGAAAGGCTTAATCTTCAAGTCTCTAACAGTTTTGGGAAGCGTGTTAAAAATCCTGATAGCGTATCGTGGGTAGCATTTTAGAGTTCTGCTAAGACGACATCGGGGCATATCAAGGTCTACTGCATTCCGTGTCCCATAAGTATGCTGGTCACTCCTTCTGTCGAAGTCAGTTTCCTTTTCCTTCAGGAGACCAAGGATGTTATACACATACTGGCTGAACACAGTTAGTACCTGCCGTTCTTCAAAAATCGGGCGACAGTGGTCGTAATATCCCGCAAATGTGATCACCCGAAGTGCCATCTTTTGCAGTAGTAGTCCTGTTGCGCAGCTGAACAGTGTCCCCACAGGACCAAGCCATATGTAATATGACTGTGAAAGAGGGCATGGTAAACAGTCATCAGATAAGGTAGAGTGATTTCTGATCTCAGTTTTCTCAGAAGATAAACCACACGGGAAAGCTTCACACACACCTTTTCAATGTGGGAATTCCAGCTACATTTGGAATCTATCCAAAAGCCGAGCAGTTTTACTGGTTCTTCCTCCTCCACAGTTTTTAGGCTACATATCAGAGATTGAGTTTTCTCCTCGTTGATTTTAAGCTGGTTAGCATTAAACCAGTCCTTAGCCTGGGATAGCAGGTGTTCGGCCTCCAGTTTAAGCTGAGTTATGTCTCGACCTGTGGATATAAGGGTTGTGTCGTCCGCAAACAAAAGTGTTTGACCATTTAACCCCAGATCATTTATCATGATGGTGAAGAGAAGTGGGCCTAAAATAGACCCTTGGGGGACACCATGGTTAACACTCCTCATACTAGAAGATGCGCCATACAATGAGACGATCTGTGCTCTCCCCTGCAGATAGCTCGATAGTGTATCAAGAACACTCCCTCCAATACCGTAGAGTCTCAGTTTGTCCAAAAGTATGCTATGTGACACAACGTCAAATGCTTAGCATACTTTTATCGATATATCGACAAGAAATCATCGATAATAATGAATGTTCCCTTTAACAGGAAAGTACCGGTACCCAAAAGAATCTTAGTCTGATGTGTACCTTACATTGTTAAGTTATCATAACACTTAGTAAACCATATCAACCTTCACCAGCAGTGTTAATGTTTAGTAGAAAACTCAATAGCCTATTGCCTATTGCCACTGTCTTAAGGTAGTTTGCAGCCTTAAGTAACAAAACCTAATAAAATATTGTCAGAAAAGAGAAAATATTGTATTAAAAGGTACTATGATAGAAATAGCAAAGAGTTACCCTCTTTAAATGTAGTAGACAAAGTGTATTTTAAGAAAATTTGTAATTTATTCTACCTTGGACATCAGGAAAAGTAGTAAAAAAAAATAGAATTCCTAGATCCTATGTTTTGTCTGATGACAAAACAGTTCCGCGCTACCTCCACCGCACCTACCCACACCACGTGACTATCTCGAGAGGGACTAACCTCGTGTTCTCAGGAACAGTGATTAAATTGTTTTCAACAAAATCAAAGACAAGTGCACATACTTAGGGTAGGTTAGGTTGTAAATCTTGTACTTATTTAAAAATACTTTTGTTTCAGAAACAAGTGTTACGGTACCTACAAGATCCACTCTGTTGTAAACGCAACTTAACTTACAAGGCCTATTTTGGTTGATTACTAGTCAAGTTTTAATTTTGTCCAAGAGGTGGCTCCTAGGCTGTTAGTTTTACTTTGCAACTACTATTCTTTTACTATAGTTAGTTGCCTACTGATTATGAATCATATTTTTTTAAAGGCTCTAAACTTCATTTATCTTCCTAGGCTTAAGGCAAGGATACTAGGATACAATGCAATAACTTATCGGCCTGGAGATAACCTATTAGCCTACATTTCAAATAAATCCTTAAGAGACATTACATTAAATGTAAATGAATGAATGAATGAATTTGAAGTAAAACTAAGCCTAATTAAGATTCTATTAATTTTATAATTATGGTAAAGGCAACGTTACCCTTTTAAAATGACATAGACATTAACTTAGTCATGACGTACCAGGTTAGTATTAACCTTGCAGAGAATGATTCCCTAATCCTTGCAAATTTATTACATTATGATTAATGTGTTTCTTTAATCCACAATCGAGTCATATCAATTATCAATCAATGGTATCAATTATTTACAATGTAGGATATTATTAACAACACTGATTCAATTTTGAGGCAAAGTTATACATTTACATTAGGTAGAATAAAAAATAAAACGACAGAATAACAATTAGCCTAGCACATTAGCTGTCAAAAAAAGTACTGCCAACTACCACTACCATTGAGATAAATAGTTTATAACTGGAGTCACTACTCTCTGGTTAAACATTAGAGAAAAACGTGCCACCGTTTTTGCTGGTTTGTTTTCGGTGTTTCGTGTTGTTAGGTTGGCCGTAAGATCGGTTGGTGGGATTCTGTCAAATTACAATTAATTCATTCTAACCTAGCCATAGAATCATAATGTTTTATTGCCATAATAATACATAAATGTACGGAGCAAAAGTCACTAAAACTAAACAAGTAAAATCAGACCCATTAAAATAAAGATACAAACTTCAAAAAGTACAAACTATTTACATTTAAAAAATGAAAAAAACCTGTAAAATTCCTTATCAACTAAATATTTTCTTAGACCATACTTATTTTTTTTTTTTAAATCATGTTCGCCCTTGATTGTATTAGGAAGAGAATTAAAAAGACGGACACATGGATAATGATTGGTTTTTATGAAAAGTACTAGCTGTGTACCCGTTCTACGCACGGGGATCTCATAGTATTCAGATGAAACCTGTTTATATAAAGAACAGCAGTTGGTTTGCATATTTTCAGATATGCTGGCCAAACTATTATACATATCTTCATTTTATGTTGTTTGTTGTTGTTCCGGATCGGTATGAAAATCAATAAAAGGTTAAATTACCTGTGTCCGCCGGTCGATCCTAATGTATCCTATTACAGGAGATGCATTTCTGCGAAATTAAATCGCCATCATCAATCCTAATATAAGGTCTTGAGCTTCCCCATTAGGTGCGTCTTGGAGTTTTTGAAACACATACATGAACCACTTATACACATGACGAATAAAATATAAATACAAGGTAGGCCTACTTTTATTTTTACCATGGACATGTAGACGCGCGTCGGTCGTGTGCCGATATCGTTGGCCGAGTCTCGACTGAAAACGCTCATTTAAAAAATGTAAGTTTTCCAGCCATACAACATACTGATACAAGGTCTTTTTCCCGGTTATCAAAACTCAAGAACAATTTTGTACACAAAAAATATCCATTTTCATTTGCACGTTACCCTACAAATTATTGCACTTGCGATTAATTAAATCCGTTATGTAAGGAAACACGTTTTTAATCTTACTTGGTTTGGATTTACTTTCAAAACGTGATCGGAAATGGTTGCGGTATTTGTAAACAACATTCAATATAAACATATCAGTGGCAGCTAGAAAAAATAATCTTGATTCGAACAGCTGTTCGTTATTTAATAGATGAATATGTGATAAACATTGGAAAAACTTTAAAAAAATTCGCACAAAATTGGGTTTTTAATCGTCCGTCATTTTATTTACAAAGTAGTGACGCCATATTTTAATGGCTAAAGACAATCTCGCCAATCCAGTAAATACATTAAAATGAATTGGAACTTGATAGGTACTCTCGTTTTTCAGGAGAAGGCCGCGTAAAATGGCTCTTGGGCCGTGACAGACAGGAAGACAGACAGACAGAAATTTAGATGAGACTTGTTTCGGTTTCTTTAATGTATAAAACGTAAAAATAACCAAAAAGTTTATGATTCTGAGCAATGTACAGACAAAACTCTAATTTGATTTATATAGATGTAGATATTTTAAGCCAAGAATTAATGGAGATGAGTTTAGGATGAGTGGCTCAACCGTTTAATTTTGAAAGGGACTAAAGGACTAAGGCAGACATAAATTCCTTAGACACAGATGTTAATTATTAATATCCAATACAGCAAAAGGCAACTAAGGGGCCTAACTAAAGGGGGTTAATGGGGGAATTCGAAACACATTTTTGCCTTGTAATTAACGATTTAGTCTAATTATCAGGGTAATAAAAATGGATAACATGAGTGATAAATTAAAATGTAAATTTTTTATCTCCTTGATATAAACATTCTGATAGACGGATGGAACATAAGATTTTTTTATTTGATTTCAAAACTATTTACAAACACTAATATTGATATAATGATGTAGTGATGTAACACTTTCATAAAACCACGACTGAAATACTTAACACACCCTTTAAGGAACATAACCCATAATTTAATATTTTAATTTTTAATTTAATATTTTTTCATAATTTATTTACTACTCTTTTTATGATTAATCTGTTTGATCATTTGTATCGGTGGTAAAAATATAACTCTGGGGGGAGGGGGAGGGCGTTTGATTATGTTGTATCGGTGGTCTAAAAATAACTTATGAGACGGGAGCCCAAAAAACTAGTTTGCAGGGGGGGCCGTAAAAATTTGTTACGCCACTGGAAAAGTCGTACGAGAGATAGTGGAATAGATAGGTCAAAGTTCCCTCTAAGATTAAAGCTGTGGTGAGATGACTCTCTAATTGAGCGGAGCGAGCGAAGCGAGGGAAGCTCTTATACATCGACTTTTATGCATTTCGTAATACGCAAACTCCTCCTAGACGGCTGAATCAATCGTTTTCAAATTTTGCATGGTGATAAAGACCATATCGGTGAGTGCCAACATCTATATGGCGTTATAAAAGTCTCTCAGGAATCCGCCCCACTGGGTCTCAAAGTTTCAATGTAATCCTTATGGAATCAGTATTTGACACATAAACAAAGACATATGATCAGCTGTTGACTTTTGAACGCAGTAGATAAATAAATAGCTGATAACATTATTCCACAGATATTAGAACATAAACGGTGGTATGGATCAAAAATATAATCAAATGACGACACTAGCTTGAGGTCAGTGACGTAGGAAGTGGCGAAGGAAGTAGTAAAGGTGAGCAGTCTGGAGTTTGGAAACTGTTTAAGACGATTAGAATTAGGTAGGTATCTGCATTCCTAAAATTCTATGGGAAGGGAGGAAAACGGGTCCGTGACGTAGGAAGTGGTGAAGGAAGTAGTCAAGACGAGCTGCCTGGAGTGTGGGAACTGTTTATGACGATTATATTAAGGTATCTGCATTCCTAAAATTCTATGGGAAGGGACGAAAACAGGTCCACGACGTAGGAAGTGGTGAAGGAAGTAGTCAAGGTGAGCTGTCCGGAGTGTGGAGAAACTGTTTATGACGATTAGATTTAGGTATCTGCATTCCTAAAATTCTATTGGAAGGGAGGAAAACGGGTCCGCGACGTAGGAAGTGGTGAAGGAAGTAGTCAAGGCGAGCTGTCCGGAGAGTGGGAACTGTTTATGACAATTAGATTAAGGTATCTGCAATCCTAAAATGCTATTGGAAGGGAAGGAAACAGGTCCGTGACGTGGGAAGTGGTGAATGAAGTAGTAAAGGCGAGCTGTTCGGGGTATGGGATGTGTTTATGACCATTAGATTAAGGTATTTGCAATCCTAAAATGCTATGGGAAGGGAGGAAAACAGGTCCGCGACGTGGGAAGTGGTGAAGGAAATAGTCAAGGCGAGCTGTGCGGATTGTGGAAACTGTTTATGACTATTAGATTCAGGTATTTGCATTCCAATAATGCTAAGGGAAGGGAAGTAAAGAGGTCCGTGACGTAGGAAGTGATGAAGAAAGCAGTAAAGGCGAGTTTTTTGGAGTGTGGTAACTGTTTATGATGATTAGATTAAGGTATCCCCAATCCTAAAATGCTATGGGAAGGGAGGTAAACAGGTCCGTGACGTAGGAAGAGATGAAGGAAGTGGTAAAGGCGAGTTTTTCGGAGTATGGGAACTGTTTATGACGATTAGATTATGGTATCTTGGTATCTACAATCTTAAAATTCTATGGGAAGAGAGGAAAACATGTCTGCGACGTAAGAAGAGGTGAAGGAAGTAGTAAGGTGAGCAGTGTGGAGTTTGGGAACTGGAAACCGTTTGTAGCAGTTAGATTAATGTATCTGCAATGCTGAAATGCTATGATAAGGGATGGAAGCATGCCCACGACATAGAAAATGGTGAAAGAAGTAGTAAAGGCTAGCAGGGCGGAGTGTGGGCAATGTTTGTGGCAATTAGATTAACGTATCTAAATTCCTAAAATGCTATGGAAAGTGATGAAAACAGGTCCACGATGTAAGAAGTGGCTTAGGAAGTAGATATGAACATATGTTGAGAACCGTCTGTGGCAGTTAGATTAATGTATCTTCAATCATAAAATGCTATGAGAAGGGAAGGAAACATCCCCCACGACGTAGGAAGTAGTAAAGGCTGGCAGTGCAGAGTGAGGGAACCGTTAGGGCAGATAGATAAATGTATCTAATACTTAAATGCTGTGAGAAGGGAAGGAAACATGTCTATGACGTAGGAAATGGTGAAGGAATTAGTAAGGCTTGCAGTGCAGAGTGTGGGAACTGTCTTTGGCAATTACATTAATGTATCTGCAATCCTAAAATGCTATGGTAAGAGACGGAAAAAGGTCCACGACGTAGGGGGTGGTGAAGGAAGTAGTAAAGGTGGACAGTGTTGAGTGTGAGAATGGATTAATGTATCTGCAATGCTAAAATGCGATGGGAAGAGACTGTAGACTGTAGGTTAAAATGATAATGAAGCACGAATCGTTACATAATTCGATACGTATTCAATCGTTTACAATAGAAATTTACAACTGAGTTGACAACAGCTGAGTTTTACTCCATAGAGGCTAAAAACGAATTGTATTCCCTAAAGAGTAAAAATGCTACTTTAGACCCGCAACGCATGCATCAATGACGACTGTTTTCACTGCAGTATGACAAAAACAATATAATATGAACCATTGATGACTCCGCTCAATTTTGTGGATGCTTCTGCGAACGCCACCTAGTATGAAATATTGTCGAATTTTTTAAGGTCAAAGATTCAAAAATGAAAACTGATGGGAAGGTTAGTTTATTATTTCTACAAACAACAGATCTACAAGACTCTCTATATTTTAGGTTGAATATTAATCTGATGGCTCTTTTTTGCAGTTTGAAAATTTTCTTAGTTTGAAGTTTGTTGGTACCCCAAACGGGCACACAATGTAAGAAAGTGATTCTCTCTTTCCCCTTCTCTT